ATAGGAGGGGGAAGGGTCCAAAAATTGTATACTAGGAAATTACCAAAATATTAAGGAATATATATTTTTATTATTACCTTGAACAAATTTTACACTTGATGTTGCTCCCGCTTTGAGATCCTTCCATGATGAGAGAATTTATGACATCAGCTCTAGGTCTACCTCTCTTTCCAGAGTCTTGTTGCATCCTGCTCCAGTCCTGGTTCAGACTACGCTCAGGAGAGAAGAACTCATGATCCTTGTCCGGGGTGAGGGTGTAGGACGAGGACATGGCCAGAGAATCCTCGAGGAAGGTTCGGGACGGATATATCTTCCGGATAGGAGTAGCAGGATCCTTCACTACATTAGATCCTCCAGCCCAGGAATCAGACTCTGGTGTGTTTTCAATACTACTCATGGTTCTTATATCTCCGGGACTTTTTACCGTGATAAAATAGGTTTTGGTTTCTCTGGTCTCATCACTACGTGGAGTAAAATATTCTACATAAACGTCTTTACAGTTTTCAACAGACATCTTGGTTTTTGGAAATTTATTTTTTCACTTCACAATAAGGTTTATCCACTGTTTATCATTTCCAAATCTGAAAAACACTAATTATAAGTCTTTAAACTAAAGATGAACAACGTTTAAATGGCAGTAGTTAAAGGTCTTACGACAGTGTACTGAAAACTAGTCTACTACAGTGGCTTTTGGCGCGAAAACTTGGCTTATTTTCTGACGTCATAGAAATATCCTTCTCTGATTGGAGATAGCGGGCGTTATATCAGCCCTCCTATTGGTGAGAACAGAAAATGCGCGGTGAATGAACAAATTTAACAAAAGTACGCAACATTGTCCCGCTTTGTTCAGAATACCTGCTACCCCTGCGTAGCTTTGTCTGTAAGCCATACCCGCCATATATTGTTTGGGTTTTTACAGGGCTTCATTTTACATTACCAGGGGGGCAGTTGAATATAAACTGAAAATTTATTTCAAAATTGTTAAACATAATCTGCGTTATTATCAATTCCAAGAAATTTTTCGACAAAGTGCGTGGTCCAGATTCCTAGAAATTGACCCCATACATTCCCCCCTCCCACCCATCACCCTCCCCTTTACAATACAGCATCAGATACCATCCCTCCCTCAAACACCCTCACCCTCCCACAACTCCCGTTACTTGTTTAAACCTCCTAATTCCGCGCCAAATCTCAAATTGTTTACAATGTGTTTAAAATATATCTACTATACACGATGCACCCAAGCTGTTTCTGGGCAATCTATATAAATTATAAATTATCGGATACAACACATGTGCATAGTGCACAATTATATATGTGTACTTGGATTTATGATGATTCTATTAAAAATTTTATAATAATAATAATAATGATAATAATATTAATAATAAAAAAATGATAAAGATGACAACAATAATAACAATAGTGATAATGATAATAATAATAATAATAATAATAATGATAATAATAATGATAATAATAATAATATATTAGAGGTCTAATAAGAGACCATAGGAAAAATAATACCCTTTTTTAAATGCATAGGATGCATAATTTGCATAGTTTATATACATTTAATATATCGTTAATGTCATATATTCATATTTAACATGAAACTTTATGTATTTATTTATAACATAGGATGCATAGATGCATAGATGCATAGACTTATATAAAAAAAAATCATACAAGTTTATATACATAGGATGCATAGATGCTTAAAAGCATAGATGCATAGATGTATAGACACTTAAAAGAAAATACATACAAGTTTATATATGGCTGCATAGGATGCAACTACAAATTTTGAATTTTGAATTAAAATATGTCAGTACGGACTGGATGCACGATCGTTGTCACGTGAAATTCCGTGGCCAGTCCCTTCTAATTCGACCTGAAACTATAGTGCACAATCTACACTTACGTCTCTATGGAGTTAACTATTGACCAGAGTGACCGTCAGGGTGAGTTGTTCCCCAGGTCTAATTTTTCTTCTTCATTACTTAGATAATATATTAGTAGATACCATTTATACCATTTAGAATTTCTGGGAGATTGGAAATTTTAAGATTTTTTGAAAATTAAAAATCCACGAAATTTCTCTATAGAATTAATGATAATAGTGTATTTTTAAGCTATATAACACATCATAAACGTTAAATGTTCTTTAATACTTAAAAATACGACTCATGTATAAGATAAGTAACTATTCTGAAACTAATCAACATGAAATATTTACATTTTTAACTGCTACATCTAATTAATATTATGTGCTGCAAATTCAACAACACTGGATTTTAACCGTTTTGCATAATCTTCATGATTGACTCTTCGTTTGTATCTGTTCCATGTTTTTTGAACTCATGATGATTAGCTTCTCCTGTTTGTTCACAGTAAACTCCTAGGCCATGTTCTGTTGATTGAAGAAATGGTAATATATGACATACACCTATATGAACTTTCCAGGTGACACTCAGCTCAACACCATCAAATGATCATATCTTTAATTATAAGATTTTTTGAACTCTTGAACAGCATTTTCCACATTTTCTCCAACTACCATACCAAAGGTTTCTGCTTAGAGTTTTTGAAACTTTTTCAGACAGTGAACAATTGGCAATAGGTTGTACTTTTTATCGTTTTTTAAATCATCTTCAAGCTTGTCTGTCAGTTTTAGAAAGTTACTAGCATTATTTCTATCTAATCCTACACCTTGATATCCTCTGAACATTATGTAATTTGAGCTCAACTAGCTCTCAAACAAAGGCCATAAACTGAGCAATAGAACAGCAAGTTGAACATAATCTTGAAGACTTTACAGGTTTAGGAAAAGATACATTAGATGAAGCCAATTCTTCAGCTTTCAGATTTATATTTGAGGATCTTCTAAGACCAGATCTGTCAATCTAAACAATCAAGTATTTTAATGACATCCAATATTTTTTTAACACAGTAAATAATTTTTTTTAGTTTACAATTATAGTTAGTAAATACTTATACTTTGACTTTAAATACTCGAAGAAAGATTAATTTATAAATAGAAGAGAAACATCCTCTATGTATGTATATAAAGCAGAATAATCTCTGTTTGTCTATCTATTTGTTTGTTTGTTTGTATGTCCGATCATAACTCATAAACCCCTGGTCCCATTTGACTCAAATTTGAATTGGGAAACTTGCTTGAACCACGGGAATTTTCTGAGCCTGGTTTAGAATTTTTTTTAGTTGAGTGGGTTGATTTTTATTTGGAAAACTCTAGGCCAAGCTCGATTCTCAAGTTAGTTAAATATATAGTTATATATGAAATTAGCTTGGAACCTTTCTTTGACTGGAAATTAAAGTCAACCCACTTAACTTTAAATAATTAAACCACAAAAAGACATTCCTATGGTTCTACAGAGTTCCCCAATCAAAATTTGAGGCAAATTAATTGAGGGGTTCCTGAGTTATGATCGGACAAAACCAAACAGAGATTATTATTTTATTTCTTCATATATTAAATATATGATGCTGATTATTATGGTTATTTCAAATTTTGCCCCAACTTATAAAGCATCTAATTGTGCTTATACTTGAAAAAACAACTTATATTTACCTTTGATATTTTCTCTATCCAGTTTCCCAGGTATTCCACCTTGTTCTTGTCAAGATCATAGAGGTTTCTGAGACAGTTGTTGCAAATAACATTAGGATAGTTGGCCACTTGTACACTAAACTGGTTCCAGACGAAGCATTTGATCTTGGTTTCAATAGCAGGAGTAATCTTTTGAATTTTAGTCGATTTTTTACCATATTGTGTGAGACAAACTGCACATGTTTTATGCAAACAGTTCGTCATTTTGTTTACTGTTTTGAAAATTTTCGCGGATTTTTATCCAAAATTTCGCGCATTTCTTACGGATTTCAATCATTTTGATAGTAGAAATTATTTTTAAATTAAATTTGTTCAAAACATTTATTCGCTACATTTTCCAACCTACCAGAAGTTCTAAATGGTATAAATGGTATCTACTAATATATATCTAAGTAATGAAGAAGAAAAATTAGACCTGGGGAACAACTCACCCTGACGGTCACTCTGGTCAATAGTGAATTACGTTCTAGTTCCCTTGAATTCAAACAACTCCATCTTTACAAATAGCATTATCTCTGAAAATTAAGCATTATGATAAGACCCAAACTTAAAACGCCAGTCAGTTGCTGATGCCAAATCGAGAGTGCCCCTCCAGTAGTTCTTTTTATTGCCTCGACTTCTAGTGAGCACATAAGCGCGCTTTTCTTCTTTACGCGCATGCAGATTTAAAGTTCAAAAAGTCTAAGGAACTATGCCTATCCAAATTGCTGTACTTGAAGAATATAGGAAGTTAGGATGGTTTAACCAGCCTCAGAACAGTCCCTTCTAATCCGACCTGAAACTATAGTGGACAGTCCCTATTAATCCGACCTGAAACTATAGTGGACAGTCCCTTCTAATTCAACATGAAACTATAGTGGACAGTTCCTTCTAATTCGAACAGAAACTCTAGTGCACAGTCCCTTCTAATTCGACCTGAAACTATAGTGAACAGTCCCTTCTAATTCAACCTGAAACTATAGTGGACAGTCCCTTCTAATTTGACTTGAAACTATAGTGAACAGTCCCTTCTAATTGGACCTGAAACTATAGTGGACAGTCCCTTCTAACTCGACCTGAAACTGTAGTGGACAGTCCCTTCTAATTCGACCTAAAACTATAGTGGACAGTCCCTTCTAATTTGACCTGAAACTATAGTGAACAGTCCCTTCTAATTCGACCAGAAACTATAGTGGACAGTCCCTTCTAATTCGACCTGAAACTATAGTGGACAGTCCCTTCTAATCCGAATTCATATTAATGTCAAAGCATGCGTAAAATAAATAATTTGGGAATGCTTGCAGGCATAACGGAAAACATAAAAACTATTTACAATTTGAATGTTGATGGGGTAAGTTAACACCAGTTATCCACAAAGGATGATACTTTATAGAGACAACTCTTCACAATTAATTCAGTGTTTTCCTAGGATTTTCATTTTTATTATTATTTAAATCAATTGGGCTAAACTTTCCTGAAATTGAATTTTAAAATTAGTTTTCCCTAGTTTTTTTCCTACAGTATGCAATATGCAACTATGGTTTATGCTGATTTCTTTCTTTTCCCTTTTTAAATTTTCCTTTTAAATGTTATGTATAAAAAAACTCTGAACTAATCATTACATTTAATAGTTTTAAGTCGCTATTTCTATATTTCTATATTTCTATATTTCTATATTTCTATATTTCTATATTTCTATACATCCCTTTTTGTTATATTTGGTAATAAAAGATAATAACTATAATAGTTTATTTAAATAAAAGTATTTATCTATTAGATATCAAAGTGTTCAATACGATATACAATATACAAAATACAATATACAATATACAATATACAATATACAATATACAATATACAATATA